TATTTATGGCATAGGATTCAAATCGAAAGGTTTACCAAATATAGGATAACAGACTAGTCGTCGCGCTATCTAAATACATAATTACTTTTGTAAAAAGATATTCCTATAGTCATTATAATTTGAAAAATACTGAAGAAGTAGAAAAAAATATGCATTTTTTTGGTGCTTATGAAATGCAGTTGTCTTTATTGTATTCAGTTTTTTTTCCAATAGATGAATACAATAAAAGATATGAATATATAGAGTGATAGAGAATTTGAAGCGCTATCAGATCATATAAATAATTTTATAAAAAATTATTGTTATAATAATAATAATAAACTCAAAAGAAAGAATGAAAAAGTACCACAAAAATGTAGTCCATGGGAATCTAATTGAGGGTGTATTCATTACCCTCAGATTATTTTCCAGCAAAGAAATGCAGGAAAAAAGATAATTATACAGGGTAAGAAAGAACTCCGATGGCTATTATAATATATAATTAGTTTTCTAAAAAATGTGTTTTCTATATGTCCCCCTGGCCAAAATAAATAGAACAGCTTATTTTTCTGATTTTTCTCTCTACCATTGTTGTTTGGTCTCATATTTATATCACAGATATACACTCAGTGACTCGACTTATTCTGAAAGTTTCAGTCCTATAGAGTGAGAATTGGCGGAAAAAACTATCAATATATCTGATGTAGTCATCTGCCACTGAAACCAAAATTTTTTGTTTTATTAATTTCTCTATTATTCTAGGATCTATTTGGAATTTCGGACAGTAATTAGATGCTTCTTACACACGACATTACAAAGAAATAATTTAAGTTATTTCTTTGTAATGTCGTGTGTAACAAGCATCTAATTATTGTCAGAAATTCCAAATCGATTCTAGATTAATAGAGAAATTAATAAAACAAAACATTTTGGTTTCAGTGGCACATGACGACATCAGATATATATTGATGGTTTTTTCCGCCAATTCTCACTCTATAGGACTAAAACTTTCAGAATAAGTCGAGTCATTGAGTGTATATCTGTGATATAAATATGAGACCAAACAACAATGGTAGAGAGAAAAATCAGAAAAATAAGCTGTTCCGTTTATTTTGACCAGGAGAATATGATATGTTAAAAATATCGACTGCAAATACTTTTTTCAAGGATATATATGGGCTGTTTTGACCTTTTTCTTCGGTTGAGTGTGAACATGAGTGTGTGACTGTCTTTACTGTGTGCCTTTTTCCATCGTTGTATTATTCATTCATTCCATTTTATTCAAATACATTGAAGATGAGTTCATTACCAGACTCGGATGGCTCCGCTAAAATTTTAATTATTGGTGAAACTGGTAGTGGAAAATCAACATTTATTAATTATTTAACAAATTATTTTAAAAATGGTGATCTCAAAAAATTAAAAGTTGCTATCAAGACGAAATTTCGAGCAGCAACAGAGGGTTATTCACATAATGAAACAAACACGGCTGATACAACAAAATCACAGACAACAGCATGTACTTCATACAAGTTCTCCAGAAATGGAGTAAATTATACATTTTTAGGTAAGCATTAGAAAGGAAAACATAATACATCTGTTCAGCACACATGCTAACGATCTCAGATATACAGGTGTTAGACGCTGATATCCACCAGATTGAAATGTGTTAATAAGAGTTTCAAAAACTGCAGCTTTTGATCTCATTTTCTAGTGAAGTTATTTCGCCCGTTTTTAGTGCTCTCAAGTTAGCTTATCGTTGCCCATTAAAACTGATTCATTTGAGCCGATTTTTGACTAGATAAATGCCCTTTCGTATTCATCTCTTTCGGTTAGATCTCATTCAAACAATTAAATAAATGTAAATGTCTTTTGCTCAAAAACCAATAAGATCGGATGCTCACTAAAGAAAATTAGAGCGAAGTTTACTTGGTAACAGTGGATATATCCAAAACTTTGGCAGATCTGATGCTTTTTAAAGAAAATTATTACAGTTATTTGTGAGGAAGACTTTAAACATTTTGTAACTTGGTAAATTATCATATGAAATCATCCAGTTTGTAGCATGATTTATCATACTGACAACTGCTCTAAATAATTCTCTGGTGCGATCACCGTCTTCCTGGCCCCTGGTGGCGCACGTCAACCGGCGTCTATTTTTTATGCAGAATGCTCGGCTTTGTCTACTCTTCAGTAAACGAAGTGGAAAGAGATTGACGCTATGATCTTATCTAAGTTGAAATCTTTCAGGCATTGTGATAATTAATATCAACGTTGTGACCATCAGAATGCGGTAGTGTAAGCTATTGAGCAATGAAATCTTTTGTGCGCGGTACAGATACTAGTTTATAGGGAAGAAACCTTCTGAAACGTAGGATTGTCCAACATCTGAAAAGTTCACATACGAACATCCGTGTGAGTTTATCAAACTAATCTTTTCTACTTATAAACTGTTGATATATGAGGCTGAATTGTCGAAGAACGTGTAGCTGATATGCAGTTTGAGAAAGTGAAGCGTTTCGTTTTTGTATGCTCTCTTTTACTTGTAGTTTGGCTTTCTGAGGAAAGTGCAATCTTTTTTTTTGTCATATGATTCAATTTAGATACGCCCGGATTGGGAGATACACGAGGCGCAGCACAAGACAATCAGAATATTGAGAAAATTATCGCTTCGGTCGAATCTTTTGATGGCATAACATGTGTGCTGATTGTAATGAACGGCACTATACCGCGATTGACTGTTAATGTTGAAAATGTTATCGTACGTCTACAGGGATTTCTACCAGATCTCATAATGGAACATGTAATTGTTGTTTTAACAAATGCTTATCGTTATGCTGCGAACGCTGATTTAGAGAAACTACTAAATCTTCAATCCACTGTGCATCCATTTTATATGCAAAACTCAGCGTTTTCAACAGACCCGTCAAAATGGGACCAACAAGCGATGAAATCTTTACAAGCGGATTGGGAGTTATCGATGACTGAACTCAACAATTTAGTTGATTTAATTGATACATTCGAAAAAAAATCTGTCAAAGCATTCACAGATATGAAAACACTTCGAAATGATATCAAATCTATGATGCACAAGGCTCGATTAGAAGTTGAAAATATTCAAAAGATGCAGGATGAAATTGCTGCACTACAAGCTGGTATGAAAGGGTACGATGATGATATTACGAAAAATAAAGATTTTACACAGAAGAAGGTTGCTGTTGCTCAATTAGTCGATGCACCGTATCACAGTACAATCTGTTCAGAATGTAATACTGTGTGTCATGATCAGTGTGGATTACAGGAAACCTATAAGAAAGGTGATCAGACTTTGTCTGGTTGTGCATGCATGGGAGCCAATAACCAATGTAAAGTGTGCAAAGCTCATTGCCCATACACACAACATTATCATGCAAAGAAGACAATGAGTAAGGTGGATCAAACCGTCGACGAAGTACTCCACGATATTAAAGCTAAGTATGATGCTGCAACAAACAATAAATCTATGGCGCAACAAAAGTTGACGTCTGCAAGTGCTCAAAAGCAAATGTTAGAAAATGCATTGAAACAAAAGAATGACGAAATAAAAAAGAAATGTTTAGAACTGAAGAAACACTGCAGTGGTTTTAATATTGTTGCTGAGTTAAATATTATGATAAAACAATTGGAAACGTCAAAACAAACCATTAAAGATTTGGATGCTCTACGTCAAGCTGAAACATTCATTAATAGTCTAAAAACCTTCTGTAATCAACTGGAGAAAGATACTGCGTTGACAAATACTAATCAAATGCGAAAAATGAAAATTCAAGATGATCATCGTCATTCTCTTGCAGATCAGTCGACAGTATTTGGAGAAGCA